TGTCTCCAACCCCCAGGCCTCCCTAGTATATAGTCCCATAAATAAAAACAAACATGCTAGGTCTAATGGCAGAGGCTTATAATTCTATCTATTTAAGAAGCTAAGGCAAGAGGATAGAAAGTTTAAAGTTGGCCCAGGCTACAGAATGAGTTCAAGGCTAGCCTGAGCAATTTAATAAGACCCTGTCTCAAAAATAAAGTTAAAAGAAGGCTCAGTGGTCATAGGTTTTGCCTACCAAGTGCAAGCTCCAAAGTTCAAATTCAATACTAAAGGAAAATAGAATGCCTTTGGCCCAGCAAAGGACAGCAGGGACAATCACCAAGAGCCTCCACCAGCAGCCCAACCTCTTCAAGCTGTAACAGCTTCCCTCCACTTAAAAAAAAAAATTTGCTTGCATGTGTATAGGTGTACCACATTTGTGCAGTGTCCTCAGAGGATGTTAGATCCCCCAAAACAGGAGTTACAGAGGGTTGCAAGTCTCCGTTGTTGGTGCTAGGAACTGAACTTGGGTCCTCTACAAGAGCAGCAAATGTGGGTAACCATTAAGCCAGACATCTCCCCAGCCCCCAGCTTTTTAAAAAAAATTATTTTATGTGTATGAGCATTTGCCTGCATGTATGTATGTATGTGCACCACATGTGTGACTGGTACCTGTGGAGGCCAGAAGAGAGTATCCAAAGTTACAGACAGTTGTCAGTCACCATGTGGGAACTGAACCCACATCCTCTGCAGGAGCATCAAGTATTCTTGACTACTGAGCCATCCTCTATCTCTCCTGCCCCCCGTCCCTATTTTCTTCTTTGAGACAGGGTCTCACTAGGTAGCCCTAGCCAGCCTGGCCTCTGCCTCACAGAGATTCTCCTTCCTATGCCTCTTTTTTATTTTTATTTTTGGAGGCAGGGTCTCCCTATAGCCTCACCTGACCTAACTCCTCACTGGAACTATGTAGACCAGGCTGGCCCTGAACTCACAGAGATTGGCCTGCCTCTACCTCCCAAGTGCTGGTAATAAAGACATGCGCCACCACGCCTGGCCCTGCCTCTGCCTCTTGAGTGCTGGGACTAATGGTGTGCTCTACCACCTAAAAACATCTTCTAGCTCAGGATTCCCCATGTCTGTGATCCAAGCATACAGGTGCTGAAGTCTGGGTTACATCGTGAGACAGGCAGGCCACCTCTCCTTTCAGAACTTCTGTTCTCTGAGAACTGCCACTGATGCACACCAAATCCTGGAGTCAAGCTCTCCAAGAAGGTCATAGTGCCACAGTACAGCCACCGTGAGAACACATTAAAGAAAACTCCTGTGGGCCCGTAAGGTGGCTTAGCAAGCAAATGCACTTGCTGTGCATGTCGACAACCCAAGCTGGATCCCTAGAACCCATGGTAAAACGTGAAAACTAACTCCCAAAGTTGTCCGAAGATCTCGACAAATGTGCATGGCATATGCACACCTGCATACTCTCTCTCACTCACTCACACACACACACAATAATAATAAATTAAAAAAAAAAATTTAGTGCTATGGATGTGGCCCAACATCAGACCACTTGCCTAGCAAGTTCCTGGGTTTGAATCTTAGCATGATCAAACAAATAAAAAAATTAAACTTACATGGTGGTACATGCCTGTAATCTCAGCACTTCAGATATGGAAGAGAATTGAGAATCCAAGGCCAGGCTGGCCATATGAGATTCTTTTAAAAAAATTTATTTATTTTTATGTTATATATGTATTTGCTGGCGTGTATGTATACGAGTTTGAGTGTTTTGTCTGCACGTAAGTGCAGCAGTGCATGAAATACCTGCAGAAGCCAGAAGAGGGCATCAGACTAAATTATATTCACAACCAGGCTTCCAACTAGGAAGTTTATCAAGGCCACAGCAAAGGAGTTTGAACCCCAAAAAGCACTCACTACCACTGATCAGGGAAAAGCAAATTAAAATCGCTGAGATAGCACCTACCATCCATTAGGATGGCTATTATCAAAAAGGCAATGTTGACAAGATGGCTCAGTGATTAAAAATGCTTGCAGCACAAGCCTGACACCTGAGTTCAATTCCTAGATTCCCTTGTGGAAGGAGAGAATCTCCTCCCAAATGTTGTCCTCAGACCTCCACATGCATGCTGTGGCACAAGCATGCCCTCCATCCCCCCCCCCACACATCTCTCTCTCATACATACACACACATAGAAATAAAATTTTAAAAAGACAAATACTGAAATACAGAGATAAGGGAATCTTGGCACACAACTGATGGGAATATGAATTAGTATGATCACTAAAAGAAGCATGGAGGTTCCTTAAAAACTGAAAAGTACTTCAGTGGTTGAGAGCGCATGCTGCTCTTGCAGAGGACCTGAATTCAATTCCCAGCACTCATGTGAGATGGCTCACAACTGCCTAGAACTCCAGCTCCAGGAGGATCCAACACCTCTGGACTCCATAGGCAGCAGCGGCACCATGTGCACATAACCCACACACAGGTCCATATAAATGCACATTTTTTTCTGTCTTTTTGAGACAGGATCTCCCTGTAGCCAGCCCCAGCTGACCTGGAATTCACTATGTAGATCAGGCTGGCCTTGAACTCAGAGATCCACCGGCCTCTGCCTCCCAAGTGCGGGAAGGGATTAAAGGCATGCACCACCATGCCTGGCTAACATAATTTTTTTTAAAAGTCAGAAATATCCTTCAGAGACAAAACCAAGATGAAGAGATGGGCTATAGGAATCTGGCACTGTGGAGAACAGTGGCTGGTGAGGCCTGGACCTTCAACACCACTACTGCTGCCACAGACGTGAAAGAACCGAAAGACAGCAGAAACACACAATAAATGGGATAGGTTAACTTGCGTAAACAATGTATAAAACATGCACAATTTTTATGTGTATATGTGTCAGCTACATTTTTTAAAAAATCAAAATCTTAAAATTAAAAATTAAATATAATATTACCATGCTAGCAATCTTCCTGGATATGTAACCAAGATGAAAGTACCACCTAATAAAGAGGTCTGCACGCCCACAGTCATTACAGTATTATTCATATAACTAAATATTCATCAACACACAAGCAGATTCTTCTGAACCCAAGGCATCACACATGCTGGGCAAGTCCTCTACCATGAGGTAATAACCCCAGCCTCAGGAGACAAATGGATAAAGACAATATAGACATACACACTGTGGAATATGGTTAAGAGCATGCACTGCTCTTGCAGAGAGCCAGAGTTCAGTTTCCAGCACCCATGTCATGCAGTTTGCAATAGCCTGTAACTCCAGCTCCAGCAAATCCAATGTGTCTGGCCTCTGTGGGCAGCTGCACTCACATGTATACTATACACACACACACACACACACACACACTGTGGAATATTATTCAGATTTAAACAGACTTTAAAAAGGAGATCTTACCACAACATGGATGGAACTGAAGGATGTTATGTTAAAAAGCCAGACATTGCAAGGAAAATGTTGTATAATCTCACTTACAGTGGAATTTAAATTCACACAGACACCTAGAGAATAAAAGGGCTGGGATAGAAACCAGATGTATTCCAAAGAATACAAAATAACAGACAGAAAGATTAACAAGTATAGAGCTTCAACATAAAATCAGAGGACTGCAGTTTAATAAAATGACACTGTATCCAAAGAATTAAGTAAACTGACTTTAGCAATTATTGCAAAAGTAACCATGTGAAGTGGTGATAGATGCATTTACTTTACCTCAGTAACCATTTTACTACCTATATGTAACAATGTAGTCAATCTCAAATATACACATTAAGGGTTTTTTTCATTGTGTATGTGTGCTATGTACATATGAAGGTGCCAAAGGAGGCCAGCAGAGGGCAGCAGGCCAGCTGGGTCTATAGGGAGACTCAGTCTCAAAACAAAAACAAAAAAAGGAGAAAAAAAGGACTCTGGTGCAAGCACTGTGATTTCTTGTCCAAAAGCTTTGAGTTCTTTGCTTTCGTACAAGATTCACCATCTAACTCTCCATTTGTTTACCTTCCCAACCTTCTAGGAACAATGGTGTTTCATCATAATTCAAAACCTCTACCTACCTACCAAGCTAGGGGGTTACAGGTAAATTACCGTTAGCCACAGCAGTTACTTAATAACCAGTGGTGCCAAGTGTCCTAAGGGCAACCTTCAGTGAGGTCATACAGAACATTGCTTTCTCTCCTGCTTCCACACCCAACATTCCCCAACAATCGGTTCCTACACAAAAAGTCAGGAATGTAGTTCAGTGGTCAATCACACTTAAGTTCAATTCCCAACTCTCTCCCCGCCAAAAAGCAAAAAGTGTTAACTTTCTGGGAGTCCATCTGACAATCATATTTACTAGTTGAACATTCAATTCTGCAGGGACAGAACAGGTAGAGGTCACGTGGAATAGTGTCAACACACAACTAAACTTAAAAAAAAAAAATAGCTTTAGTGTGCCAGGACAGAGGGGTGGTTGTTAAAGCGCAGAGCTCGAGACCTGGGGCTGTAGCTGAGTGGCAGAGCGCTTGACTAGCTTTTGCAACACCTCAGAAGAATAGCACTGGATGGAAGAGAATTTAAAGGGCAGACTCTGGGCAGTGGGGAAAGCGCTGGAATGGAAAGAGCCCCTGTCACCCATCAACCATGCCCAGTCTTGCCACAATGGAATCACCAAACTGTAAGGAAGGCTGCGCTGGGTTTGAGTTCTGACGGCGGTTCTCCAAGCAACTCCAAGCAGCCTACATCTTTGGGAGCAGGGTCGGGCCAAGACTTGCCGCCAAAAACAGGAGAGCAGCCACCAGGCAGCCCACGGCAAACACACACTGGGCCCGGTACGGGCTTCTCCCGCTGCAGGAGACGGGTCTTCAATCCCAGGGGACCAGGTCGATGCCCCCCGCCCCCAGCCCACCTCTCCCGCCAGCGCGTCTCGCGATCACCCAGGTGCGTGGGACCCCGCACGCCCAGCTCAGCGCCCGCCACCCGTATCAGCAACTGGCAGGTGCTTACGCGGAGACCACCTTCCCGTTCAGGATTCCCGCCGGCGCCATGGCCTTTATTAGCCTGCAGCCCACGATGGCACCAGCAAAACTGAGCTCCAGTCCCTTCACGCAGAACAGCACAGCCCACGTGCTCAGCGCCCGCCCAGGGAGCCAAGCAACTGCGCCTGCGTCCGGCTCCCGGCCCGAGGCGCTCACAAGACCCGGAAGGACGAGGGCGGCCCGGGAAGAGACCAAGAAGTGTCAGAGGACGCGGGAGAGCCCGGGGCGTGAAGAAAGCTGGTGACTGGCTGGCGGCAGTGATTGGCTGCGGAAAGCGCCTGTGCAGAGCGGGCTTTAGACGGGGCGGAAACCCGCCAAACACCGAACTGTGGCTGTCGCAGAACCCGCCTAGTTTCCAGCCAATCAGAAAGCGAGTCTTGGGGGCGGGGAGGGGCGGGGCCTGATGGGGGAGGGGCCTGAGTGGAATCGTCTTGGGCTCGGGGCGGAGTCGGGACAGGGCAGTGTGGGGGCGGAGTCTGGGACGAGTTGGGGCGGGGCCTGAGCTGAACTGAACTTGTTTTCCCACGCTGGGACCACTTCCCTGTGGTTGCTGTCTCAGGTTGGCTCATTACAGCCCGCATAGCCCCGGTAAGGACAGTCTAAAATGGCAATTATGTCCCTCCCATTAGCCGTCTGACTGAGAAAGGAAGTCATCCCAGAACACTGGAATTTCCCCCCAGAACTCTTAGACAGGGAGAGGAGAAACCCTCTAGCATAGTGTCAGCCAGAGGAAAAACTTGTTTTCTGGAAAGAGATTTCACACAGCTCTAACTTGACAGATCACCTGGCAAGATAAGACTGAAGTCCAGACGACAGGTGGGACTGTGCCTTGACCCCTTGACCGCTTAGCTATGCCTGTCTGACCTTTTACTTCAACCTCATGCTCCTATTATGACCATGAAATGGATTTCTCTTTGTCCCTTTTCCCAACTGACTAAATCTCCTTTTTCTGGTTTTTACCATTGTTTGTTTCGTTGGCTTATTTAGGATGGTGGCCAGCCTGGTGTATTGGAGTGTCAGGGTCTTGGCTCTGACTCTTAACTCCAGGAACAGTATTGAGGATCGATACATAACCATTAGGTAGAGGCAAGCTAGCTACCAGTGAACTACAATCCAGTCTTCCATACTTAAAAATCTCAGGCAAAGCTGGGAGTGGTGGGACATGCCTTTAATCCCATCACATGGGAGGCAGAGGCAGATGGGTCTTTGTGAATTCAAGACCAGCCTGGTCTACATAGGGAGTTCCAGGCCAGCTTGGACTACAAGGAGACCCTGTCTCAAAAAGACCAAAACAAACAAACAAAAATACCTCAGGCAAACGTGGCCCCTCCCAGGGTTCAAGCCCAGAGGTAGTTTCAGCCAGTCAGTAGGGAGGGATGTCAGAGGTGGAGCACCTGACTCCAGCAGTATGGGGTAGCAAGGTGGAGAGAGGTAAGGTGAGTGGCCCACTGTTTTCAGCAGCTCAGGATTGGAGCAGGCACAGCCTGCCTATCAACTAGATGGCAGTTGGCCTAAGACCGACATCCCCTCCCCCATGCAGATCTGAGTTTGGCATTTCCTCCAGGAACCTGATGGTAGGCAGGGACAAAAGTTGGATTGGCTTTGCTTTCTCTACAGCTGGAACCAGGCTGGGATCTAATCTTTGTCTAATTTCAGTCTTCTTCATATAGTTCTGAAGATAAGTCCTTCACACCACCTAGAATTTACCAGACAGCTGTTGATTTTATCCACCATTTTTAGTGTGGCCTGTTTTCAATTAATGACACAATCCTCTCATGTACCCCAACTGCACTTCCCATTTCTTTCTGTGCTGGGGAATCAACCCAGGTCCTCATATGGGCCTCATAGCTGCATTTCCAGGGCCCTGGCAGTACTTTTACTGAACTTGAGTCTCCCACCCGTGTGTGTGTGTGTGTGTGTGTGTGTGTGTGTGTGTGTTCTTTAGTTTGTGACTTTTGCCTAAATTCTGAGAATGTTTTAGAGTACCTCACTATGGGAATTAGAAAATCTCTTTTTTGTTGAATTGGAAGTTTTACTGTAATGTGCATACCGTAAAACTCGCTGATTTTTAGGAATACAAGTTGATGGTTTTTATTATATTTACAGAGCTGTGCAACTATCACCGTGATAGAATTAGGAAATCCTTGTGGTGTTAACACAAAATCACAACTCTCACCTCAAAGGGGATAAGAGATAGTTTATTCTGGAGCCAAATACGAGTGACCATGGCCTAGGAACACAGATTCATGTTACCCCAAATTCCATGTTCCAACCTGGTAACAGTAACATGAAGTTTTTACAGTAACAAGACAAAGAAGAAAGCCATAAATCAAGACAGTTTTCAAATACATTGGTGGAGACATCAGAGAGGCAGGTTATAGCAAAGTGGGGAGAATTCTGCTATAGGCCTTAAATGTGTTCTGACAGACTCCTTAGGCCTTGGGTTGGTAGAAGCTGGTGTTCTGCTGAGTTAACATATTCCAAAAGGTTTTTATTTGTTAGTTGCAAAATGTTAAGTCAGAACAGAAATGTGCAAGGAATGATTATTTAGGGAGCTAAAGATGGCCCAAGATAAATTGTAATAAGGCTCTGCTGCAACATCCCAAACTTTCTACAGTCCTGGAAGTTCTAATCAGTTGATTGGCCTTGCAGGAGGTTCAGTTGAAGATGTAACTTTTTTCTGGGAACTCTTGTTTACACTAGTTTTCTGCTGTTTTTGCTTTTGGTTGGTTTTGTGGGTTTTTTTTTTTTTTTTAATGTATATGAGTGTTTGACCTGTGTGTATAAGTGCACCTGTATTGTGCAATGCCTGTGGAAGCTAGAAGAGGGCATGGAATCCTGTGGAACTAGAGTTACAGATGGTTGTTGGACAGTTGTTAGCTGTCATGTGGGTGCTAGAAACTGAACCCAGGTCCTCTGCAAGAGCAGCCAATACTCTTAACCACTGAGCCATCACTCCAGTCCATTTTTTGTTTGCACCCCTGGCTGGCCTGGAACTCACAGAGATCTGCCTGCCTCTGCCTCCTAAATGCTGGGATTAAAGGCACATGCCATACCACACCCAGTATGGTTGTTTTTTTAATCTTGAGTTGTATCCAATACTGGGCCTCTAGTATGTTAAGTATATGTTCTACCATTGAGCTATACTCCCCAGCCATTACCATTCTTTTTTTTTTTTTTGAGACAGAGTCTCCCTGTAGCCCCAGCTGGACTAGAACTCACTATGTAGACCAGGCTGACCTTGAACTCATAGAGATCCTCCTGAGGGCTGGGATTAAAGGCGAGTACCACCTTGGCCAGCTACTTTACATTCTTAAAGTTTATACAAGAGTAATATATACTGGATATGATGATGCAAACATAGAATCCCAGATCTTGGGAGGTAAGCCAGAAGGACCAGAAATTCAAAGTCATCTTCAACTACATAACAAGTTTGAGGCCAGCCCAAGCTACATAAGACTCTGTCTCAAAACAACAACAACAAACAAACAATTCAAAAATAGTTTTCACAAGTGTACACATTAATATATAAGAGTATAATAATATATGACTCTCTGAATACATGTACTGTTATACCTGAGCAAGGAAAATTGAAATGGAAGAAAATGTTCCTGGCAAATTGTAGGCAGTGAATCTGTTGTATGTTGCATCACAAAGCAGATTTTGACTACTTCAGCTATCTTATTTGTGAGAAAGATGACTAAACCCCATTTAACAGGTGGGAAATGAACTTTGAAGGATGACTTACCCAAAGTCATGCCCAAGTTAGGCCCCAAACCTTGATTCTTCATTCCTAAATCTATTGCCTTTGCCATCCCAAGAGAGTGGTTTTCAGATACAGGATCAATATGTGACCTGTGTTAGAAGTAAAATCTGAGATCCAAGGACCCCACCGATAACTCACAAAGAACACTTGAACAAAGCAAAAGTAACTCAGCAAGGCAGCTTTTACTTTTGCTAAAGTGTGGATTGCATCATTCAGATCAAGCAAGCACACCCTACCCAGAAGTCTGATAGGTTTATCTTTCATTCAAGAGTACTGTGTCTTTTTTTTTTCATTGACTGGGGTCCAATCTCAGTCTTTCAAGGTTGGCTAGTTTTAAAAGAATCAGCACAAAGGAAATAAAGGAGGGGTAGAAAGGAGTTGGACAGGGGAAGAGCTCAGCTGCCCTAAATCATCAGGTTCTGGGAATACAGATGGGCTTTTGCAAAAACAAAAGTTTACTGGGTATCTGTGGGGATTAAAAGATTTTAAAAAAATTTGATCTATCTATTTTTATCTTATTTGTATGTTATGCCTGCATGTATGTAAGTGTACCAATGTTGTGTAGTGCTCATGGAGAAGAGAAGAGCTTGTTGGATCCCCTGGAACTGGAGTTATGGACAGTTAGCCACCATGTGGGTGCTGGGATTCAAACCGGGGTCTTCTCCAAGAACAGTCAGTGTTCTTAACTGCTGAGCCATTTCTCTAGTCACAGGGATTAAAAAATTTTAATTCCTTGTCCTAAACCAAAGTTTTACAGTTTTGACAGAAAAGACTGATATTTAATGTTTCTTACACCTGTACAATTCATTCATGGAGTAAACAATTGTTGAACAAACAGCCATTGTATGCTAGTAACACTGCTCTAAATGTGGAAGGAATCCTAGCAAATTAGTATCATGATGACTGTTCCTGCTCTCAGCTCATATTCTGGTAGTGAGACAAACAGCAATTAAAGAAACATGTGATTTTAGAGATGAAAACCTGCTGTTTTTATTTATTTTTTCAGTGCTAAGGATGGAAATCAAGGCCTTGTACCTGCTAGGCAAGTCCTATACTACTGAACTACACCTCCAGCAAGAGACTTGCTGTTTTTAAAGAATCAGTTAAAAGGATAGATGGTGATAGCAGAGGCCCTGAGAGCGTGGTGTTTTATTGTTTTATTTATTTCATTTTTACAGTGTTGGAGAGTGAAACCAGAGCCTCACACATGCTCAGAAAGCATTCAACCAGAATCATATCTTCAGCCGAAGTGCTGTTTTAGAAGTTTGGTAAGTGAAGTTTCTTTGGGCATCTTATATGAGAATAACCTGAATCAAGAAAGGAGCTTGGGCAGAGCATGGTACACATGCTCTAATCCCAGCACTCAGGAGGATGAGGCAGGCAGATCTCTGTGAATTTGGGGCTAGCCTGG